GTGAAGGAACCGTTTGATGCACAATCCATTGAGAATCTACCACTCCTATTTTTTCATGAGCTGGCTGCTTTTTAAAAATGACGCAATGAGCATAAAAAGACTGCTTATGCAGTAAGCATAAAGAAACATGGATGATAGCTTGCCTCAACGCATTTCTGGAGAGCAAAATCAAGACCCCATCCATGGACCAAGTCATTCTGCAGCATCGCTAGCAATGTTAAGGTTTCACATTCAAAAGGATATGGTATATCTTTTTCTTTTCTTTCTTATTTGACTAGGGCGTGGGGGGAAAGGGAGCAGTGGTTTCCGAAACACAGAACTGTTAGAACATGAAGAAAGCAAAGATCATGCTTGATACCTGAATCATATGCCAGACGCAACGCCATACATTTCGAGAAAACACAGGTGCCATGATCTCGACGAATCTGTATACCACCAAGTTAGCAGGTAAAAGTATTTAAGTCAAGTAGCTGCATCTAAATAACATGCAGTCATTAACAAAATCAAAATTCATCCACATACGCTGCACATGGTGGCAAATGAGGATCAGTGCACCAACCCGGTCTTTCCTCTGTTTCTCTGTGTCAGCAGAAGTAATTAGATTCTAAGCACACAACAGAGTATATTCATGACATGTTTGGTAACGTGGACTCGACAATAGTGAAAAGTATTAATGCAGAGAAAGACATCGAAATCTCTTTCAATGTACCATCAAGTCCTAATAGTGCATAATAAACACCCTTTTAAGATAAAAGAGGGAGGAAGCAGTAAGCAGGGAATAGGTAATCCAGTGATAATAACACTGCTTTAATGGCATCCTTTTTTGTTCTTACTTGTGGACTTCAGTGTCATCTCGTTTTCTCGTCATCTGCCATGTCATGCCACTATCTGCAGATAACCCTGGCTGTGAAATATCTAGACCATGCTTCCGCACCAGTTTTATATATCTGTCACAAAGGAATTTTAAATTTAGTAAACAATTTGACCAAACAGCTTCATTAATCACTTTAGAATATATTAGATGTTTCTACTCACGCCTCTGGATCAAAGTTCTCAACTCCCAGGTCCTCATCCCAGATAAATATATAATCGTAAGGTGCCACAATATCAGGGTGCAAAAAACGCTTAGCATACCACCTTGCAATGTGGATAATATACGAATTATATTCACTATTAAAAACCTACATATCAGGATTGTACGAGGAAACAGGAAGAATGCTATAATTACCATTTAGTCTGCTTCAGCACACTCACGTGGATAGCCGATTTTGACCACTCAAATTCACCCCATTCATTTACCCGTCCATCATAGTGAAATAACAAAATCATAAAGTTCTCTGTTAACTGTACAAATTTGTTCAGCAACGTAAGTGTGGGTTCACCCCAAAACACAAAAAAAATCGTCCCCACAAATGGACAACAGAGTGGAAGTTTGGCTTGCCTTTTTAACTGCAGAATCAATGTTTTTTCTCTGCTCATAACCTACAGTAAAGGTTACAAGATACCTAGGTTTGATAATTAAGTCCTGCATTCATCCAACTATTTGATTAGAAGTGATGGAAGAAAGTAATTCACGGATTGATTTTTAATTGACTGCCCTATTCCCTCAAAAATTAAGCAAGGCACATCTCATCTCATAACCAATAAAATATAAAATAAAATGAAACATGTTGAAAATTTGAATATGCAGATCATTTCAAGCTCCATCAAAATGAAAAGGGTGGAGAATTAACAGCTTAGTATTGTTCACCTCTGTCATCGAGATTAAGGAAAAATGGAAAATTAGCTGCTTAAAACAAGTCTCTCATACCAAACTATGGCAAAATTTACACACCTCACCAGGATGGCCCCACAATCTGCGAAGATACAAATCAGACTCTGATGTAACAATGCCAGGTGGTAGTCTCTCAGCTCCTCGAGGATTGGTGGAAACCCAGATCTGTTCGAAAATCACTAAGAACTAATATAACAGACAGCAATAAAAAAGTACGCAGAAAATTACCATGCTAATAAGGCTCAAGTTGCATTTGTCTTGAATAAAGCTCATTTGAGATTGGCTTGCTAAGAATCAAGCTAAGCTTGAGCTCCATCTTAAAACTGGTTAAGAGATTTATCAAAGCTTAAACAATTTAATTCGCCTCAATTTCTTAGAAATACTTAATTAAAAATGCAACTTAAGCCATAATTAAGTGTTGATCATAAGTTTTCATTCTGGTAAGATTGCATTCAGCAATTCTCCTATAAAATCTAACAAAACAAAATATAGAGCCAACTGAAGTTTTAAGACTGCTCATGTCTTCGCAGCATAGGTTGAAGGATGTAATATCTCTGATAGAATTTCAGACAGTTTCAGATTACCACCTAAACAGAGAAGAAAAGATGCTACATGTACTAGAAAGCCATAAGCCTTAAGATCTTATGCTTGTAGCATAGCCCGCATAAACCATTATGTTTCCTATGAAGTTAAGGCATCAATCTTTAGACTTTACAAACTGAATTAGCATATCTTCAGTTAGTTCCTATAATAGAAACTTAGATTTAAAATGGGGAAACGTTATACACACAAATGAAACTCTCTAACCTGCATCAAAGATAAATGACTCACCTTAGCGTTATTTACTTTTTGTGAGCTGCCCTTATGACCCTTAAGAGAAGACCACATATTTAACAGTGCTTGAGTTGAGAGACCCGAGTACTTGTCCTCAATGTAAGTAAGATCTATAGAAGAAAACAGGCTCGAAGGTAGATGAACCTGAAAAAAATTATAGCATGCAAAAAGATGATCTTTTACCAAACAAAAATATGAAATCAACTTTAGTGTAAAATAAATATTCAGAAATCAAAAGAGTCGAGCATTCCTGCCTTCGTCAGTGAAAGTGTAGGAAAAGATACACCTAAAAAGAAGCCAAAAACGATTCCCACAATAGTAGTTACTATTAGCCTCATTGTTTCATTTGTTCTTCTAATATTCATGCTGCAACAAAACAGGGAGCTAAAATATTAATTCTTGCACCTTTACTATTATTTCTTTAAGTGATTCTAAAGTTTCTGTAATAGGAATTACCCGGATCGTCGCATAGGTGTGCCCATGTTAACAGCACTCTTCCAGCAGTGTGTAATCTGCATAATTTATATCTATTAAGTTTCCATTGCTTCAAAAAACAAATGCACAGTTTCATAGCACGTACATCAACCCTATGATCCAATGCACAAAATAAAAAGACAGGCAAAAACACAAATTAATCAGTGACGCTAGCATTTGAACAAAATTCGAGACCTACAATTTGGAATTTGGAATCTTAAGCCAAAATCAGTAAAAATAACTGTTAACTCCAATGTTTCTAATACTAATCTACGCTCGTTGTAATTGTAACGGTATTAAAAAGAATTTACAAAAAAAATTCTAAAAATTCAATAAGTTGATTAATGGAGATTCAGAATTAATCACCTTTGTGATGAGAATCTAATTCACCCAGGGAATCTGATTCCGAGATGTGGACCAGATGTTCAGAATTCGCAGGTCAGGCTCGGGAAAATGGTACTGTATCGAGGAGACAAACAAAATCTGCCATGAAAAAGAAACTAATTCCTGATTGAATATAAAGGAGAAGTTGATTCAGAATGCAATCAAAAAACTTTTCTGTTTCGATTTTTCGACGAAATATTTGCGTGGAAACGATGATAATAAAAGGTGGGCTCCAGTATTAAATCGTAATTATTCAATGGAACCGGTGTAATGCACTGTAAGTGGCTGGAGTCCGCATATCGTTCGTGTTGGTCACTAAGCCATGTTTGTTACCATTTTTTTCCTATTAAAATGAAAAATATGATCGTTATCCATTACATCAAGCAATCAAATTTAAATTTCTATCTCTTATGTGAGGCTCATAACGATTATATTTTTCATTCTCATTTTTACAAAAATAAGAAACAAACGCCCCCTAAACTTTAATCAAATTCTACTTGATTAGTTAACGTATATTTTTATATCAATTTGATCATTTTTGTCCGTTACTTATTACATTTTACACCATTCGTATTGTGGCCGACCGAATTCGCAATTTAACCTATAGTTAGGAAGTCAATTATTCTTGGGTGCTAAAAACATACAAATTCCACTTTTTTTAACACCCTTTTTTGTTGAGAATTTATTTTGAAATAGTAGATTGGTGAGGAATATGGTTAAAAAATAAGGAAAATTTTTTGAATTTGAGTATAATATTATCTTATTAAAAAATGTATGGTTGAAGAGAAAGTGAAAAATGTATTTGAAAAAAATGGGAATCAAGCAAGGGCTAAATGAGTAAGCCGTCCATGACATGACAAATGACATTTACAAATATATTGGACTTGTTCCATTAGTTAGGTTGTAAATTTGACGAGCTAGGAGCCCAATTCCATTGGTTAGGTCTCGAATCATGTCGATTTCTGTAGGTCTTATCGACAAAATAGTCAAATTGAATGATCGAATTGAAATGAAAAAAAATAAGTTGAGCAATATTAAATAGTATTAAAGATCAGGCGAGCCTATAAGTTGGATCAATAAAGCTAGTTGGATAACCTCGGCACATTTTTTTCCTTTCTTTGTTTTGAAAGTCAAATTATTAGTATGTTTGACAAATAAACTCATGGGCCTTCAGATTTTTATGGGTTGAAATAAGCTACACAATTACTCTTAAATTCAGGATGATGGTGATTGAATGACATGAAAATGTTTAACTTTTTTCTCAGGAGACTTCATTAGTTTATATATGAAATGGTTAAAATTTGATGCCACACTTGTGATATAGTTGTGCATAATAACGAATTAACGAGGAATTTGATCATGGGACCTGCTATATCCATCGAGTTTCTACCGACAGATGAGAACTGATGATTGACTTTATCTACGAAAATTTAGATTTGACCAAAATCATTCATTTAATTCCAACGAATACAGTCAATAAAATAGGTAATAAGGGCTATGTCATAATTAAGAAGCTCATAAACTCGAAATCCCTTTCTTCATTTCTGTTGGTGTATGTATGGTAAAGCAATTTATTTTTTAATCTTTTTAAATATAAATTATACGTCGTGAATCCTATAAAATATATAGAAAAAAGTGGATAAAATTGTGAATCATATGAAATATGTAGATAATAATGATATTCGATCTATCTGTAAGCTTGAAAAAGCTTTACCAAACGTACTCTTAGAACTAACATAATTATACCAAACAAAATAGACTCTCAATGCTTCGTTTGTTTCCAAGCACCTCCTAGTAACTGTTAATTCCGAGGTGAAATTCATCATTGAAGGTATTTTGTACCCAATGACTTTTCTATTTTCTTTTGAATCATGCTATTTATACAAATTAAATTGACAAGCTTAGCTTACAAGCTATTTGTTAGTAACATCTAGACTAATTATTTCAAAAACAGTTTTTCAAATCAATGGAAATCAATTGCCTAGGTTTTGCTAACATTTTAAACAAAATTTGTACTAGTAATTCTTTTCTTTTAACTAGAATTCTACGTATTACTATTAATATTTCTTGCGGTGGATGCTTTCTCAAAAAGAGCACATTAAGGTTGGAAAGATGGGTGATTTCCTCCCCAATTAAGGATCCCCCTACAAAATTATTTTTAACATTTACCAATTTTTTTAAGTGACTCTTTAAAGTATTAATTATTCAATCGAAACTTCTATTGACTTTTAAAAGGTTTTTAAATGCATGGTGTATTCAATTAAAACTTTTAAAAATTTTCTATACATTTTAAAATTTTCAAATTATTAATGAATTTTAAGCAAAAAATATTAAATAAAATCTCAAAGCTTGTCTCTCATTCACCCCAAGATTTTGAGAGACTTTCAGGAAAAAAATTAATATGTATTTTTTGTTTCTTTCAATATTTCCTCTTCCATTTTCCATGTAGAGACATTAAAGTCATAATTAAAAATTATTTTTTCTACTTATGACATCTCTCTCTTATTTGTTATCTCTATTTTTTTAGTTTTTACAAAAGTCTATAAACATTTTAAAATGAAAATCTACAAAAAATTTCTATAAATTTCATACAAATCCATAAAAGTCCACGAAATTCACAAAAATCATAACTTTAAAAAAGTCCATAAAAATTATTCTAGATACATGTAGATTCTATTTTAAATAAAACTCTTTATAAGTCATTTGAATTCTACAAATATCTATAAAAAATTTAAAATGAAAGTTAAAAAAATTTACGAAAGATTTCCATAAATTCCATATAAATTCATAAAATATATAGAAGTCATAACTTTTAAAAAGTCCATAATAATCTTCAAAAGACCTAATTGAATACTCTATAACCTGAGGAATTCTTATTTTACCATCAATTTTAACTTTTACCAGTAAAAAATATATATTTTACTTGTGACTTTTAAGCTTAGCCAAACACGCTCAAGAAATCAACTAGTATACCCTCCACTGGGTCACTTAACAAAGATTTCTGACACGTGGCAATCATCGGAAGTCAAACAACTATTAAGTCCATGC